AAAATGCAAGAACCAAAGGAAAATAAAGGATAAAATATTAAATACGCTTGCAATTCAAAATAGAAAATTAACACAATTCTTGAAAACAAAATAAAACCAAGCAAAAAACTCTGTCCCAAACCAACCCTGCTCTAAGAACCAGCTCTGAGATTCACTAATATGAACAGAATGACGCTTGGCATTTGAATTCCAGTTCTGTCCAGTACTAAGCTGGTGATCTTGAGCATGTGGCTTAACCTAAACCTCAGTTTCCTTATCGGTACACAGAGAAAAATAAGTAGGGGGTGGTTCAAATGAGATCATGGAAATCAGTGTCATTCGTGGACCAACGGACCATTGCTGGTCCACAAACTGTTAGCAGTCTGCATCAAGATATGGACAAAAACAAAACATAAGCATTTAAAACATCTTATAGCAATTTGATGCAGTTGATGTTTGTTGAATCTAATAGTAAAAATGCCTATATTCTGTATGTCTTTTTTTCATGTTATTTCTCTAGTAATTTAATTTTTCTAATACTACTATTCTAGTTCTATGTTAGAAAAGTACTTTATATTTCAAGTGATATATCACAATAAAGCTAGAAAAAAAAGAAAGAAAGAAAAGTACTGGTCTGCAACAGCCTGGGGGGGAAAAAACACTGGTCGTTCACCACAAAAATTTGAGAAGCTCTGATATCAAACACTTATACTGAGTGTTGAGCATAAAGAATTCTCAAAATGTTAATTTCCTCTCCATCTATTGGACTCTATAGTCAGTCACTAAGTGCTTACGAAGATCCTCCTAGGCAAAAGATAGTGCTGTGCAGGTGCAGTGGCTGCAGGGCTAAAGAAATTTAAGGAATTTACTTGCAGAAATAAAACCCACCTAATATAGAAGAAACAATGTAAAAGAAAGTCAGTACTAGCTCTAAGTGATATTTTTTTAAAAATTCTGAAAAACTAGGGCTCTTTTCAGGTTAAAGTGTCCAAGGAGGTTTTGTCAGAGAAAGTGTGATTAGAACTGGGCCTGTGAAGGCTGCATAGAATTGAGGCAGCTGAGAGGAGGAGGGGAACTTCAGCAGAGAATTTGCCAGAGTAAAACCAGAGAGGGAGCCACTATGAATAGAGGAGTCTTAACAGGAAAAAAATGGAAAAGAGGGTTGGAACCGGCTTTACGGGAAAACCTGGTCTTTGTCTATCAATTCGAGGATTTAGAACATAAGCCTGGGACTAACGGAAGATTTCTGAGCTGAAAAACAAAATGATCAAACTGGGGTCGCACAAGCAGGAGCACATATCCTACTGGTGTATCACTAAACATATCACTCTCTGTAAAGTCTCAATCTTTTTCCTTTTACTGCATTCACTCTGCAAAAGATCCCAACCTCAGATCAATGCAACCATTTGCTTTCTAGACTCCTGGATTCAAATCTAGACTCAGATTTGCTAGAGGAAACCAAACAACCCTGCAAAATGATACACAACAAATGTGGTCTCCAACCTGAACAGGTCCTCAGCCTGGCCCAGCAAATCCTTAGTGTTCCTGGTCCTCTCCCTCTTCTCCTTCCCAAGGAACAGCTGTTTCTAACTTTCACCATTACCCTCAAGCCCCTTTACTCCACTGCTTCCCACACTTCTCAGCTGGTGTCTCAGGTCCCTTCCTCTCAGAAAACTGAGATCATCAGAAACGAACTGTCTCAATTCTCTCCACCCAAGCCTAAAAACATACATATTTCAAATGAATCTAAGCCCTCCATTTGTGTATGATCAATTACTTCTCCCTCAGTTGCTTCTCCCTCGTTCCTCATTTGTTTCCAATTTTCTCTTTATACTGGCTCCATTCCCATATGTTATGAGTTGCTCAAAGCTCCGCCATCTTAGGGGGTGGGAAAACCCCCCAAAACAAAACAAACAGCTTTCCTTGACCTCATATTGGCTGCTCCTCCACTCCTCCTTAAGTGATGATGCTCCTCAGGCTTGCATCTTTTTCTTCTTTTGGTGGCCCTGCCACACAGCTTGGAGGATGTCAGTTCCCCAACCAGGGCTTGAACCCGGGCCACGGCAGGTATCATAAGTGTTCAACACATGCTTTCTAAGCTGAAGTAGACAAGTTTCGAAGTTGAGGGAGGAGAGGATGGGGCTGGAGATTTGGAGGCATCAGGATGTAAGGTGGTGTGTCAAGTTGTGAAAGTAGATAAACTTACTCAAGAGAGTTCTGAGAGGAGTAAGGAAGCCAGGGCAGACTTCTTTGTCACCCTGTAACTGCAGAGGGCTCATTTATATGAGCTCTTCCTTCCAGTTCCTTAAGGGCAGGAACTCTGTTCTATTCATCTCTGTCCACCTGGTACTGAGCACACACGGCACAGTACATGTTAGGAGCTCAGTAACCTTTTACTCAGTTGTATAAGTGCCACTGATAATAGAGGGAGGTAAAATACTTCAGGGACACAGAGGAAGAAGTGACTACTTTGGCCCAGGAGGGCTGGAAATAGAGGTTTTCAGCGGGACAACTGAGCTCCTGAAAGAGAAGTTCATCTGGCAGAGAAGTGGCAAGAACTTCAAGTCGAGGGAACAAGCAGGAGCACAGGTACCAAAGCATGAAAGAGCACAATGCAGACACACCCTTTCCGTAGGTTTGGGAGTCAAGTGCATGAGATAGAAAAAAATGATAGGGAGCTTTAGAAAATCAGCTGAGAGGATCAGAGTCAGACTGCCAAAGGCCATGGACACCCACCTAAGGATAGGAACTTGACCGTGGGCGGCCAAAGAGGAGTTTTAAATTTAATCTGAAATGACCAGATTGACTTTTTATAACGGTAATTATGTAGTGGCAGCACCAAGGGCCAAGAATTGAGAGACTCAAGGGAAGGAGCTTAATTAAAGGCTGATGGCCCGGCTAACAAACCCAAGCAGAAGGCTTATCCTCCTTAAGCCTTCTACTCGAGGGAAAGGAGGAAAGGGAATGAGAAATCCATTTTATAAAAACTCAAGATTTAAGTCAAGCGACCAGTGAATCCCAGCTCCTGCTGACCACCAAGCTGGACACCTACTTTTTTCGGGTCTAAACTGGATGGAAAGTTCCGAAGTGGAAATGCCCGGGAAGCTTCTGTCTTACTATAAGGGTTTCAAGCCCCTTCCCATCACAGCCGCACCGCTGCGCGAGGACCTATCTGTGTAGAATGGCGTCGGGAAAACGAGGGGACGTCCCAGAAGAGTTGGAAACGCCGCGGCTCCCACACAGGACGCGGGGTGGGGACGCGTGCGCACCTAAAGCGCGCGCCCCGCCCCCTGCCTTTAAACCGGGTGACGGGAAAGGGAACTCCGCGCCTCTCAGAAGAGCCCCCGCGGCTTCGAAGGGACGCAGTCCGCTTAGAGCCCTCTCGCCCAGACACTCACCCGCTCCCCGCCGGTCCTCAGTGTCCCCGCGGAGGCAGCAGCTGCCGCTGCATTTCCCGCCACCCGGCTGGGCTAGACCAGACCCCGCCTACGTGGGGAGCGGGGCGGGGAGAGCGGGGCTGGTCCATATGACCCCGAGCGGTCGGGGGAGTTGGTGATGAAGTAAGGAAAAGTGAAGCGAGTACAAGTATTCTTTTATCTGAGTCGATCCCTTATATTGAGCGCCAACTCACAGCACAACGGATTTGCTGCTGACTTAAGATAATTGGGATCTAAGTCCGATTAGAGGTGAATTTACAAACATTCTGCCCCTGCACCTAGTCAAGTGGATTATTCCAAAGTCTTAACAAGGTTAGTTAGAAAAGTTAGGTTTTATTTGTGAGGAAATGGAGAGCTCAGCTACGTGGAAGAGTGGGTCTTTTGCGGGGCTGGGGTGTCTGTCTTACTATAGGTATAGGTTTAAAGCTTGCACAATACGCAGGAGGCTCCTAAAAGGAAGAGGTCAACACAAGTATTCATCGTCAGGTCAGGGTCTTCTCTGGCTTCTGTTGAGATGAGTGTATTTTCCCAACAACAAAAGAAAATAGGGATCAAAAAAATAATATCTTGTGAATAATTAAAATTTGAATGGAAGGAATCAATTTCTGGGACAGGTAAAGGGTTAGATTTGCTGAAGATGAAAGGACAGATGAGAGAAAAATGAAAAGACACACACAAAAATGGAAAATAAAGAAGACTATAGAACTAGTGATAAAAGCAGAAAGATGCCATTTGAAGAGTGTTTTGGGCTGCTCTAAATTAAAACGGAGGGTCAAATCCTCTCCCTCCTATGTCCCCCACCCCTACCTCTGCATTTGCTCCAGGCATCAGGTTTCCTGTTTTGGCCTTAGGGAGCTCTTCTGGGCTTAAGCACCACCTGCTTGGAGGCCACATTGCGGGTGTGTCAGGCAGAACAGTTAAGCTACTTAATTTTTCTAGATTCTAGGCTCACCCACCTTTTGCTTAGGTTGGGAGCTCAGTGGCCCAGGGCCTCCAAAGAGATCCATTATGCCAGAATGCACGCAAAACCCAGCCAGTGGATATAGATAGGTTGATGTGGATTTTTATAGAACAGTTCAAACCCCAGTGTTCACTTTTCTCAGAGCTACCTCCCCACCCAAGTCCCTGGGGCAAGCATTTCTGAGATAAGTAGGCTACACCCTCGGGTTAACTACTCCAAAACTTTTTGGCATCCTGATCTGGGGCTGATACCTCCATTTCGTCCACCACGCCCAGCTGCTTCTACCAACTCTTGGAATGCCTCATCTCCTCCACTTCTTTCCATCTGCCTCCTCTGAGGAGTAACTAACTGCTTCCCTGCTCCCTCAGAAACCTAGAGCCATACACTTGACTGGCAGCAGGGTAAAGGCCAGAAGCTTAAGGTCTTGGTTCCCTGTACTTACCACACTGGGTTGGGAGAGGAAGGTATAGGGTGACACCTCTTTTCCCTTCCCTACCTCTCGTGCCATGCCCCAAAACTCAGACACAGTCACATTCACTCACAGTCATACGCACAATCATGCACACACAGCGGCGAAGAGAGGTGGGATGGGGAGGAAGGGAAGTTTGCACCAAACAGCTCATGAATGCAACTTGAAAGATTTCACACGGCAAAAGGCAAAAAAATAAAACACACACATAAATTTAAAAATAAAGAAGTACATGCCCCTCCCCACAGTCTCTTTCTTTATCCAGGGGCTGGCTCAGCCCCTCCATGTAAACCCAGAAGCTTCCTATTCCCTCTATTCAGCTGGAGCTTTTACAGGGCCTGGGTCTTCAGTTCAACAGGTTCCCCTGTGCCCTCTGGTTGTCCATTGGAGTCACTGGGCTTGGCACCCTTGAGAATAGACAGTCTCTCAGAAACACTCTTGAGCCGGGGGAAGAGGAGAAAGTCATAAAGGAGACTGCCCAGGCCTGCTCCAATGATTGGGCCCACCCAGTACACCTGCAGGAAGAGGAAAGGAATAATCAGGTTTGGGGAGGGGACCAAGAGCAAGGCTGCTCTTTTTCCAACCCCATTGTTGTAAAACAGACATCCTGCACTCAGCAATTACAGCTGGGCACTATTTAAGTAGAAATCAGTGTTTGTTTGTTTATTTTAAAACTTTAGACTCCTGCACTGCCTGCATCAAGGAACTTACCATTTCTTTTCCGACTCATTAAATTATACCTTTATCCCACACATTCTTAGCACATGTATATTCTATTTTTTGCTATAAGTTTGTACTAGTTTCCATATTGCGTTGAAAATTTCGTTTTAATTGTGGTAAAATACACATAACATGAAATTTACCATCTTAACCATTTCTAACTGTACAGTTCAGTAGTGTTAAGTATATACATGTTGTTGTGCAGCCCATCTCCAGAACTTTTTCATCTTGCAAAACTGAAATTCTATACCTATTAAACAACTCCCCATTTCCCCCTCTCCCCAGCCCGTTACCTACCATTTTGCTTTGTTTCAATAAATTTGACTACTCTAAATACCTTGTATAGGTAGAATTATATAATATGTGTCTTTTTCTTTTCTTTTTTCTTTTTCTTTTGGCTGCTTTTGGGTCTTTTGCTGCCTGTGGGCTTCCTCTAGTTGCGGAACTTCTGGGACCTCTCTAGTTGCAGAGAGCAGGGGCTATTCTTCATTGTGGTGTGTGGGCTTCTCATCGTGGTGGCTTCTCTTGTTGCGGAGTATGGGCTCTAGGCGCATGGGCTTCAGTAGTTGTGGCTCGCAGGCTCTAGAGCGCAGGCTCAGCAGTTGTGGCATATGGGCTTAGTTGCTCCGCGGCATGTGGGATCTTCCCGGACCAGGGCTCGAACCCGTGTTCCCTGCATTGGCAGGCAGATTCTTAACCACTGCGCCACCAGGGAAGTCCCCAATATGTGTCTTTTTCTGATTGGATTATTTCACTGAGCGTAATGTCCTGAAGGTTCCTCCATGTTGTATATAGCATGTATAGAATTTGCTTCTTTTTGAAGGCTGAATACTATTTTATTGTATGTATATACTACATTTTGTTTATCCATTCATCTGTGAGGGACACTTGGATTGCTTCCACATTTTGGCTCCTCTAAATAATGCTGCCATGAAAATGGGTGTACAACTCTGAAAAGTTTTTTGAATTATTTTCATACGTTTAGCTGGTATATGGCCAAACAACACAAAAATAGCCAATTTTTATTGAGGACTTATTCCATATCAGATTCTGTGCTAAATATTTCACACATATAATTTTCACATTTATTTCTCATAACATCCCATTTTTTAGTTAAGGAAACTGAGATGCAGAATGATTGATTTATTTGTCATGGTCACACATGAAGCTAGTAAAGTGCTAGAACTGGGATGAAGCCCAGGCCCACTTGTGCTCATACATATCCTGGTCTCTGAGAGTAGAAGCTTCTGTCTTCCTGATCAGTATTCTGTCCTCTTAGCTCCTAGTTTGGAATCCAGTGAATACTTAGTAAAAATCCCTAACTAACTAGTGAAGGAACAATATGAACAAGAGCCTATCTTTCTAGCAAAATAATGAATCCTGCTCACACAGGCATGCAAACTCTGTGCAGCCCCCTTAGCTGAGTGTTGGTAGAGCAGTCAACACATCCAGATGGAAAGCAGGAACCAAACCTGGGAACCTGCAGTCCACACCCATGCAGGAGGGCCTCAGGATCTTGCCCTTCTCCTCTCACTCACCCAGTGGTTGGTGAAGTTTCTGGTAAGAATGGCAGGAGCAAAGGAGCGGGCAGGGTTCATGCCTGCACCAGTATAATACATCTGCAAAAGACACAGTTGTAACTGAGACGCTTCCCACCCACTCCACCCCAGCTTCTCTCCCACCACCCACCTGCCCACCAAGGGTTGGCACCTTGCCTCCAGCCAGCAGCAAGTAGGGGTGAACAACCTGCATGGAAGTCCCAGGAGTGGGGTGAAGTCACTAATGCCCCATCTGGGGACAGACCATGGATCCCCCGGCAAAACCCACATCTACCCATGATGCATGCCTTTCCACCTTGGGGTCAAGAAGGACTAGATAAAGCCATCACAAGAGAGGAGAATAGGGACTTCCCTGGCAGTCCAGTGGTTAAGACTCTGCACTCTCAATGCAGGGGCACGGGTTTGATCCTTGGTGTGGGCAGGAAGAATGCTTAAAAGTTGACAAAGGCTTGGGGGACCGGGAATCCTTAAAGAAGAAGTTGTTCCCCTCTCCTGCTTACCCCAAAGAGGTGCCCCAGGGTGAGGGAGAAGCCAACGGCCAGGGCCACGGAGCCCAGGCGGCCATTCCGCCTCTCGTCGTATGTGGCAAAGATGCAGAGCACGAACTGGAGCGTCAGGAAGATCTCCACTATGGTGGCCTGGCCCACACTCACCCCAGGGTGCAACTGGGCAAAGGAAGAAGAAGGGGGGCAGTGCATTAGGGCTGTCACAGCCTTACCTACTCAAGGCTTCCCCGGCAGGAACCCCCTTACGGCATCCATTCCGTGGAGAGGAAGGATAATACAACCTCTTTCATAGTAATTGTATTTGCTCCTTAATTTCTCCTAATAATACACCTTCATAGTAGAAATAAATGCACCCACTAATATGGATGAGGAAACTGAGGCCCCATAAGGTAAAATAAGTTTCTTCAAGAACCTGCAGGAGTTGGAAGAAAAGCTGGGACCTGAACTCAGGTCCAGGGCTCTATGACTTCCTTATCCCTCCACAGCACCTGTGATCCTCCCCACCCTGAACACACACACACACACACACACACACACACACACACACACTGTCCCAGACCCGTGGGGAACTGATCTACCTGCACTTCAGGAAGGAAGTCAGGGCACCAGGTTCCCCCAGCCCCACTCAGCCAACCATTACCGTGTTAAGTGCTAGGTTTCCTCGGATGGCAGTTGGGGTAACACTGTACAGCACGGCAGCCCCAGCCACGGCTCCCAGGAGTTGGGCTACCATGTAGCAGAAGGCACGGAGCAGGGACATCTGGGAGCCCACAAGGAAGGCGAAAGTGACTGCAGGATTGACATGGGCTCCACTGATGTGGCCCACAGCCTGCACCAGTGTAGCCAGGGCCAGGCCAAAGGCCAAAGCCACCTGCAAGATATGCAGTGGTCCAGGGGCCCAACGCAGTGAGGCCCCTAGCCCGAAGAAGACATAGAAGAGGGTGGCAAAGAACTCAGCAGATATGGCCCTCCAGAAGGAGGCTGACCGCAGTTCCCACATGGCACGGGGGATAGGCACAATGCCTGGGTCCCTGATACCCCCCTGGTCTGATCTGGATGGACAGCCCCCTTTATAGAGAACTTTTAATCCCTGGGAGGGGCAGGCTGAGGTGGCTGGCCCAGCCTCTTAACCCCTTCACAGCTGCAGAGGGCTGGGACCACTCTTGTGCATCGGATAAAGCTGCTGCATTTTCCCCTCCCTCCTCAATTGGGAGATGAGCACAGCCATGGGTGTGAGGGTGGGGATAGGGTCAGGGCTCGTGTCAGGCTCTGAGAGAAAAGGCCCAAGAACAGGGGAACTGGAGGAATCTGTCTTTCTCAAGTCAAAGTTGAGGTTCATAGTCCTGACTGACATCTATATTAGAACATTCCTCAACTCTGCTTGGGAGGTTAGTGAAGCTGAGTTCACTTCATGGAGTATGAGACTGCTCCTGGGGGCCTCCAGGTTCCTCTGAACAAGCTGGGGTAAGGGTGGGGGTGGGGATCAAGAGTGGGGTGCAGCAGGGAAGTTGGATAGCTGAAGAGAATCCTTTAGTTCTCTGGGATTAGAGGGCCTTCTCCCATTGGCTGGTTTGGGCTGGAATCTGTGGACCCTGCAGCTCTGGGACAGAATAGTTCTGCTGCGTCTGGCTTTCTCTGAGCTCGGGTTCCCTCCCCCTGACCCATGCCAGCACCTCCCTTTCCAAACACTCAGCCTGGCCTTTTATTTTTATTATCTATCTATCTATCTATCTATCTATCCATTTATTTTTTGCCACACCGCACGGCTTGCAGGGTCTTAGTTCCCAGACCAGGCATTGAACCTGTGCCCCCTGCAGTGGAAGCTTGGAATCCTAACCACTGGACTGCCAGGGAATTCCCAGGCTGGCCTTTTAAACCACAGAGATAGAGAGCAGGAAAATGCTATCTTCCATGGACAGGCTGAGAGAGGGGTTGGGGAGCTGGGGAGGGGAAAAGGGGTGAGTAGTGAAATCTCAGACTCAGTGTGTACTTCATCTTTCTGAACTCTAAGATCATAGCAGGAAGTACTGAGAGGAAGGAGACTGAGTCACGCCTATGAAGCAATGGGAGTGTCTAATTCCTCCTAAACTGGCTGTGATCAGGATACTGGAGTCCTAAACCTCTATGCCTAGGGAAAGGTCTGGGGGTGTGGGTATCTGGGGAAGCAGGCTGGTCAAGGAGAGAGGAAAGGACAAGATGGGGAAGAAAAGCTTGGGGAAAGAGGTTCAGTTGTGGACAGGCTTAGTGAGGGACTTGGGATCTAGAGATGGGGGCTGTGTGGTGGCGGAGAAGGCAGAATGGGACACACTGATAGGCTCCACCATCTCCACATCGTGGCAAGTCACAGAGATCACAAGCTGTTTCCGTGTGAAACACTGGAATTGGGAGTCACATATAGGCTATTGAGAAGGGGATGTCATGAACAAAGGACTATTCTGTGCACTTGAAATCCATAAAGAATAGCAGTAACAACAAAAATCCTGGCTTTACCACTTTCTAGGTGGGGAAGTTACCCCACTAGATACAAACTCCAGGAGGGCAGGGACTTGTCGATTTGCATGCAAACCCCATGCTTGACACACAGTATGCAGTAAATAAGTATTTGTTGAATAAATTAATGTAAGCTCTCTGAGCCTCAGTTTTCTCTGAATCGAATAAGGTAATGTAGGTACAAGCCCAGGATGGTGCCTGGCACAGAACAAAGCACTTAATAAATTGGAGCCATTTGATGAGGGTTTTATCAACAGGAACCATTAACCCTATAGCCTCTTATAGTAAGGAATAGAAGGGCAAAGGGCAGCTAATTTGGTGCCCTTGTAGACACCAAATAAAATGGTTAAATTTCCTTATTTGGAGCTACCAACCTCTCTCCTTCACTCTTTTAAAAAATTAATTAATTAATTAATTAATTATTTTTGGCTGTGTCGAGTCTTCGTTGCTGTGCAACGGGCTTCCTCTAGTTGCTGCGAGTGGGGGCTACTCTTTGTTACGGTGCGCTGGCTTCTCATTGCGGTGGCTTCACTTGTTGCAGAGCACGGGCCCTAGGCACCCAGGCTCAGTAGTTGTGGCACGTGTGCTCCATAGTTGTGGCTCACGGGCTCTAGAGCACAGGCTCAGTAGTTGTGGCGCACGGGCTTAGTTGCTCCGTGGCATGTGGCATGTGGCATCTTCCCGGACCAGGGCTCAAACCTCTGTCCCCTGCATTGGCAGGCAGATTCTTAACCGCTGCGCCACCAGGGAAGCCTGTCCCCTTTACTCTTTATCAGATGTTGATAAGAACCCCATGGAGAACTGAACCCCAGCCCTTTTCCTTTCACATCAGCCTCCCTACTTAGCTGAATGCCAAACTTTCAAACTAGGGATGAGCTCTCAAAAGCTCACATGAATTTTTGCATATCTTTACATGTAATTAGCATACACAATGTTTTCTATTAGCCTAGCCTCCTGAAGGAAAAAAAAAAAAAAAGCTGTCTCTCTCTTGAGGAATGGAACCCAGCCTTCCCCAAGACTGCTGCTTGGTATGGGTGGGGTTCTTATCTATGCCAGTACTCCAGAAGTCACTGAGAAAGCCACTGCCAGCCTGCCTGGTCTACCTGCTGGTGAGCCACGGCAAACTGCAAAGTGGAGAACTTCATGCCCTGGCCCTGGCCTATATAGCTCCTCTTGCTCATCTGAAAGGGACCAGAGATGCTAAGACCAGGGGTGGAGGACACATACATCCCTCCCACTGGCCCACGGCTCCCACCATCTATCCACAAAGGCAGCTTTGAGCAGAATCTGCAGCAAGTCACCCAAATTCCTGAGTTGCTGAGCCTAACTCATTGGCCTATTGCATCGTATTGAAAGTGGCTTAATGAGTGGATGCACGGAGCAGGGGTGCCCCCTCTTTTGTTCATTCCGTAAAGTCCTAGCCATCCACCCTCCTTAACTACCTAATGTCGTCCTACTCAGGGAGAGGGGCTGCTGCTTACCTGAGAGACCAGCTAGGCTGCAGTCACCCATGGCAGTACCAGGTAGAGGAGGACTGAGGCCAGGATAGCTGCTGTGTCTGGGCCAGAACGCAGGATACCCGCTGGAAAGGGTCAAGCCATTGGGCCCACAACAGTGCCAGAGGCAGGGCCGGATTTGTCTGGGCCCCACTGACCTCATCAAAAACCTGTGCCAGGCTCACCACCTCCAGCCCTCCAGGCAGGGGATGACAGACTATGCCTGACACGGAGCTCCCACTGGGGCATGATGCCCTAAGGACAAACCCCATAAAGATCAGGGTATCCAGGCTTTCAGCCAATACCTCTCTCCAAAACTGCCAGCTCTGTAGGTCTTGGGGGAGAGGAAGGAGAAGGGAAGGCGGCAAGATCATGCTGTCTTCTCCCCACTGTTCTCCCACCCCTCTCCTCCTTAACCTCTCTCTGTCCCCATCCCCTTTAACAAACTCTCCCAACCAGGCCTCAGCCTCTTCATTCTGTACCTACTGACCCCCAACCACCTGATATGAAAGGAAGAAGGACTAAGAGACAGAATAAGGAAGTGATCAGAGAATAAGGCCCCCTTGGTTGGACTGGGATTTATTTTATTTTTTGTTTTACTATTTTTTAAAATTCTGAGGCAAAATATTTTTATATTTATTTATTTTATTTCCTTTATTTTCTTGGCTGCGTTGGATCTTAGTTGTGGCATGCGGGATCTTCACTGCAGCATGCGGGATCTCTTGTTGTGTCGCGTGGGCTTCTCTCTAGTTGTGGCATGCTGGCTCCAGGGCGCGTGGGCTCTGTAGTTTGTGGCACGTGGGCTCTCTCGCTGAGGCTTGCGAGCTGGACTTAGTTGCCCTGCGGCATGTGGGATCTTAGTTTCCCGACCAGGGATTGAACAAGCGTCCCCTGCATTGGAAGGTGGATTCTTTACCACTGGACCACCAGGGAAGTCCCTGGACTGGAATTTAATGGCGGAGAAGAGGAAATGTCTTGGCTTCAATGGGAGAAGGATGGAGTCTATAGAAAAAGATGGTGGTTTCTCCTCTTTCCAGGAATCTGACCTCCCAGGTCACCAATTTGCCAGCCTGGTCTAGAGTCTCTGTTGGGTGTCCTGCTCCAGTTTGGAGACTGCTGTTCTAGGTCTAGGTGGGTGGAGTTGGGAGATGAGGAACAATTGTTTCAGGTGCTGGAGAAAGAGGCAGCCAGAGACATGAGAGCTCTACTCCTGTGTCAGGGAACATCCCTCATCTCCTTCCTTCAGCCAATACAGAGGAGCCTCATCCCTCAACCTGCCACCCCTAACCCCAGTCACTGCCCTTCCCAAGGCAGCCTTCGACATTTGTACTCACACATTCTCACACCTAGGCATCCACTCTCCCCAGCCTTGGCGCTTCTCTCTCCTACCAAGCTGTTCTTCCTCTTTAGCCCTTCAACCCCAGCCTCACTGAGTGAGGGGCAGGAGCTTATAATGGCTTCAGTCAACCAGAGGTACTCACAGTGAAAGGACAGACTCATTCTTTCACTCCCTAATCATCTCTATGAACTTGGGTTTCAGGAGCCAGAGAGGTAAAGAGGAAAGTTAATGTGTGGATCTGGAAGACAATGAAAAGAATTCCAGGGAAGGGGAAGTAAGGCCATTCCCATCCCTCACCAGAAACAAAGTCAACCAGTGAGAAGGTACCAATGCTGAAAGAGCACTTGGGCCACTGGAATGGGCAACGGAAAGCACCTGTGAGGAATTGCCTGGGAGTGCAGGGGATTCTTGGGGTCAGCACTCGGGATCACCCAGGACACACCCTAGTTCATCTTTGGCTTCTTTTCTGGCTAGTTTGTTCACTTTTTTGCTACCACTCTACTCTATTCTTGTATTTGGGGCTCTTTTCAAGGATTGCCAACGAAGTTTACTTCTAGATTCTCCACCTTTCTCTCTTCTGGCCTTAAATCAACATATAAACATATTTGAAGTTTCTTCCACTAGGAACTGCAGAAATGGATAAAAGGGATTTGTAAAGTAAGAAACATGGGGTAGTTACAGAGTTATTTTAAGTCATACTGGCTTGTGGTAGTAAACA